AAGATATAGAATAAAGGACTTCTCGGTGCTTGCAGAACTGAAGTTCCTTCCTGTGTTATTTTGAACCTCTATTTGGAATCTGGCTTGCTTACAACACATTCATCATGAAAAACCTAAGGGCTAAGTTGTCTTCTGACTTGAAGAAAACACATTTGTTGATCCTAATACAGTAACAATGACTTACCTTTATATTTAACAATACTATTGCATATGCAAAGTTATTGCTAGCAGGTCAAAACGTCACAAAAACAGTGCAAGCAGWGGAGCAGATCACAAGCAAACTCTTTTCATAGTATGAGCCCAAAGTCCTTAATTTCTTCTTGTTAGAGACAGATACCTGGGAGTTTTCACATATTCATTTCAATTAAAGATGAAGTTACCTCTGAGGAGCAGCAAACCTGCTTATGTAATGTTTATACATGACTGATAACGCTATTTCTGAAGTTTATTCCTCTGCAGTCTCCCTCTAAATATTTAGATGTACAAATTATCTGTAGCCTTGGAATCTCTGAATTCTTGTTGTAGACACAGGACAAACCTTTACTACAGTCCATGAATGTTTTGACAAAATCAATAGCAGAGAAGAATAGCACCAGCTGAAAGAGCTGTTACAATAGTCATAGTGTTTCCAGAACTCACAACTAAAGACAMTTTTGTTTGGAAAATACGTATAGATAGTCTATGAAAAACCCACATCAATATCATATACATGTAGATTTGGATATGAAATGCAGAGCACTTCAATCAATATCACATTGTAATGTCATGAAAAATGTCACAGGATTAAGCAGAATTTACATAAGTTTTTATTTAATCATTAAAAAGTTCTCCCCACAAATATGGATACCAAAATTATTCAGACTTATGAAATTATCTCTTAAGCGTATGAAACTACATGGAAATTTGTTTGAAAGTAAAATATCAATTATACAATCATATGGTTCCCAAGCAAAATAGATTCAAAATAGCTTTAAAGACTATCTTGCACTCAATTATTCATCTTAAAATCCTAGGCACTTACAAAAGTGAAGATGGAGCTTCAAGTCACCTACCTGATTCTTAAGTTATCTGTATTCAATGAGCATAGGAAYACATAAAAACCTACCTTGTTTATAGTGAAACTGTAAGATTAATTTAGTCTACTAAAAACGTTGAAGAAAAAAAAAAGAATTCTTCAAAAAGAAAGTTTTAAAATCCCTTTTCAAATCATAGAATCATAGAATCATAGAATGCTTMAGGTTGGAAAGGACCTCAGAGGTCATCTAGTCCAACGCCCCTGCACAGGTACAGGGCTACATACAAGYGGGTTTTAAAAATCTCCAAAGGAGGAGACTCCACAACCTCTCTGGGCAGCCTGTGCCAGGGCTCTGTCTCCCTCACTGTCAAAAAGTGTTTTCTCAAGTTCCTGTGGAACTTTTGATGTTTCAGCTTGTGGCCGTTTCCTCTAGTCCTGTCGCTGGCCACCACTGAAAAGAGGCCGACCCCCTCCTCCTCACTGCCTTCCTTGAGGTATTTATAGACATTGATCAGGTCCCCCCTCAGCCTTCTCTTCTCCAGGCTGAACAGGCCCAGCTCCCTCAGCCTTTSCTCATAGGACAGATGTTCCAGGCCCCTAATCATCCTGGTAGCCCTGCACTGGACTCTCTCCAGCAGCTCCACATCCCTCTTGTCCTGGGGAGCCCAGAACTGGACACAGTACTCCAGATGTGGCCTCACCAGGACTGTGTAGAGGGGGACGATCACCTCCCTCGACCTGCTGGAGACGCTCTTCTTACTGCACCCCAGGATCCCGTTGGCCTTCTTGGCCACCAGGGCACACTGCTGCCTCATGGTCATCTTGTCATCCACCATGATGCCCAGGTCCCTCTCTGAGGGGCTGCTCTCCAGCAGGTCCACCCCTAATCTGTACTGATGTGCGGGGTTATTTCTCCCCAGCTGCAGGACCCTGCACTTGCCCTTGTTGAACTTCATGAAGTTTCTCACCGCCCAGTCATCCAGTCTGTCCAGGTCCCTCTGGATGGAGGTGCAGCCCTCAGGGCTATCAGCTACTCCTCCCAGTTCGGTATCATCGGCAAACTTGTTGAGGGAGCACTCCATGCCTTCATCCAGGTSRTTAATGAATAAGTTGAACAGGACCGGACCGAGRACTGACCCCTGGGGGACACCGCTAACTACAGGTCTCCAACTGGACTCAGCGCCACTGACTACCCCTCTCTGCACCCTGCCTCTGAGCCAATTCCTAATCCACCTCCCTGTCCACTCATCTATCCCACACCTTCGGAGCTTGCCCAGGAGGATGCTGTGAGSGACGGTGTCAAAAGCCTTGCTGAAATCCAGATAGATGACATCAACTGCTCTGCCCTCATCTGTTYAGCTAGTCACTCCTTCATAGAAGGCGATCAGGTTAGTCAAGCATGATTTCCCCTTGGTGAATCCATGCTGGCTACTCCTGAGCACCTTCTTGTCCTCCATGCGCTTGGAGACAACAGCCAGSATGAGCTGTTCCATCACTTTTCCAGGGATGGAGGTGAGACTGACTGSGTTGTAGTTGTYYGGGTCCTCCTTCTTGCCCTTTTTGAAGACTGGTGTGACATTGGCTTTCTTCCAGTCCTCTGGCACCTCCCCAGTTCTCCAGGACTTTCCGAAGATGATGGTGAGCGGCTCGGCTAGGACATCCGCCAGTTCCCACAACACCCTGGGGTGCATCCCATCAAGGCCCATGGACTTGTGGGTGTCGAGTTTCCTTAGGTGCTCTCTGACCCAATCTTCCTCTACCCAGGGCAAGCCTTCCTCTCTCCATCTCATTTCTTGTGTCCCCAGGGCCTGGGATTCTASAGGGCTGCCCCTGACAAACACYGAAGCAAAGGTGGCGTTCAGCAACTCTGCTTTCTCCGTGAACATATGTCCAGAAATGTGAACAGAAATGTGAACATAAAGTCCAGAAATGTCTGAACATTTTCTGTAATTCACTGTCCTCTTGCTTTCTTGTTTCCTTATAAATGCTAAATTGTTTTTTTTCAACTAACTGGAACATCTATGATCATGCTGTTCCTCTCTGCTCTTTTTCTTGATGAGCCAGGTTTGTTGCAAAAGAGCCAACGCCTTAAGAACTGATATAGTTTCCTTCTAAGCATGCCTCTGAATGGAAAGAAAGTGTCAGGCAGGGGAGATTTTCATGATCCTGTCCGTGCAAACTCTGGAAACAGGAGGTAAGAAATATGCATATTAGTGTTCCTTCCAAGAATGAGTGTGAGGAAGGGGATGTATCTGTGTGCTGTTAAAAGTATTTCATGATCGGCTTTCCTGTTTTTTAAATTAGACTTTTTTTTTTAAGTTAATTTTTAAATAAGACTCCATGGCATGCTTTCTAGTATTTCAGTTATCAAAAGTCCAGCTGTGCTTATGGGTCTGCAAATAGCAGAAGGATTGTATAGCAACCTGCCAGTTACCTGGTACCTCTTTGCATTTATTGCCCTGAGCTAATGACTATAATCAAAGTATTATTATATTACTTTGAAAATAGGACAGAATGTGACTTGGAAAGCAAATGAGGGGTGTTCACAAGGCTTTTAATCCTCATCAAATGCAGGAGTCAGCTGTGTTCATCCAGTTTATTCTTAGGTTTGAAGGTCAGGATGCCTGATTCTATTCCCGGTTCTTTTAGGAAATATGTGGGTGGTACTTGGCAAGTATTCGGTTCCATTGTTGCTTTTTTCTTCCCTCTGAATTACTAAGTTATTGATTTTCCATTATTATGAACTCCTTCTGAACTGATTTGACTCCTTTTCTTATTCATTTTGGCCAAAACCTGAGTGCAAGTTCATCAGTATTCCGTAGTTTATGTTCCTATACTATATAACAAAAATTATTTTTTATGTCTTCTACAAAGAAATATGACGCATTGCAATATACCTTATTAAAATACATTCATAATGTTGTATTTTTATAACACTTCTTAGGGAACTGAAATCACATAATACAGTAGCATAGAAGGTTATTGGTTATTCATTAACTCTTTGGGGAAAAAAATGCTTTTGATTAAACTGGTAATTTACCAAAATTCAGGCCTGTGTACTGGAAAGCAGTTTTATTTCAAATGCTGGTATCTCTRTTCTATACAGCACTCAAGCAACTTCCTAGATTTTTTTCCTGAATTCTCAATGGAAACAGCTACAAGGCAACAAGATTGTTTTCATTGCATTCTGATAGTGCCAGAAGAGAACGAGCTGTGAACTTCACTTGTTTGCTGATTTGTTTTATCCTGCAGATTTTAAACAGAACTGAGAGTGTCCCTAGCAGACAGATGTGGGGTTCTTTCCTTAAGGTCAGCAAGAGGATACCAGATAGCTGACAGAGGATGGAATAAATCTCCCAACATCTCTGTTTGACAGTGGTAAGTCAGGAAGCACAGCTTGTCACAGATGCTTTCCTAAAAATGGTGTCGTTGCCATGTCCTTGATTTTTGCTGTCTCTGTTAAATGCCTCTAACCCACTTCTGGTACCTATCCAATAGTTGGTATCATAAGGTATATAAGAGGAGGAAAGATTCACAGCCTGTTCATGATCTGTAGAGGCCTTGAAACTGTGAAGCTGAGAACTAAGCCATTATCTGGTTGTAGGAAGTTTGAAGGCGGCTCTGCAGCTGCGAAAACAGGGGCCTTATCTGGTGGTGAGGAGCAACTGAGGAATTTGGAGGCGTCCGTGCCAGAAGGCATGGGGCCAACCAAAACACAGCCGACCTCTAAGCCAGTTTGGAGGTCAAACCTGAGGCGAGGGAGAGGAAGATGAGGAAGGCRGGACCCTCATAATGAGACCAGAGACCCCCACTGGTGGGCACGCATGCGCACACTGGGGAAAATTGCATAAGGAAAAAGGTGGAGCTTTGCCCGCCCTCTGGTATGCCTCCTGACACGTAGTGGCCCTACGTGGCGGGATGCGCCAGATATAAAAAATAATCGTGGATCAGAGGRGGRGAGAGACTTCCAACCGAGACCTACGTTGTCTCCGCRGGGACGCCYGCAAGCTTGGAGCCTGTCAGCCACCTCTTGTCCATGGCGGGGGAATGATCGGTCTCGCTGTCCTGCTGGCAAGTATCCTCTCGTAAGTAATTGCTACGTAGGCGCCTTGTCTCGCAGGTAGTTGCTAAGTAGTCATCTTGCTTTAGTGTGATGTTAGTGTGAATTGTCCTAAATAAACTAAGGGGTTGATTTTGCTCTCAGTGCGTGTGCTTTCAGTTGCCGAGCCCTGAACCCATCCAGAACATAAGGGCACATTAGGTACTTAAAAAAAATAAATCAAATTCTGCCTAAACTCAGCTTAAATGCACACAAAGTGTCTCAAACATCAAACATAAAAAMCAATTGTTACAAATTAGAAAGGACTCAATGCAATGCTAATCAATACAGGGCTCAAGCAGATGTCTGAACATCTCAAAAGACCATGTATGACAAGACTTAGATGAAGACAGCCTTAACAGTATATAAACACACCTTACAACTGAAAAGGATAGAAAAATCCCAGTACTGACACAACAATAATATGCTGAATTTTGGACTCCAATGCAATCTTTGATTTATCCAGGACAGTTTAATGGATTTCTAAAGCTGTGAATTCTTGTACCTCCCAAAATTACAAAACACAACTTAGTTATCTTCACTGAATCACACCAGAACCTTAAAGATGCTTCCAGAATCAACAAATATATTGAAATTCTTGGAAATTACACAGAATCATGAATAAAATCCTGAATACTTGGGTTTTAGTATCCATAATTATGTCACTGTATAGGCAATCAACTTTTAAAATTGCAGAAAACTCACAGAAATCTTCATTTCAAAGATCATATTAAGATAAAGTAAAATCCTACATTCTTAGCATCTGCAAAATTCTATATTCTTAGGACCTTTGTGATTCCAGATCACGGCTATAATCTACTCATTCAGGCTTCTAACATTTTATGCCTCCAGTGACTCTGATTTAATTCATTTGGATCTAAACTAGAAAGTTCAGGATAGCCAATGGACTTTTATATGGGTCTAGGTTACCTTTGACTAKGTGGTGCAAAATCCTAGCTGGCAGCTCTTGAGATTTGGGGTTGCTCCAGATTAAGATCATAGAGTGTCCTGAAGGACAAGGAACCATTACAGCTGTATGTAACACTTCCCCAATGCTTAAAGGTAAGAACATGTCAGATAAAATAAACACCAAAGCAATAAAATATGTAACATGCAGAATGAGGAAGGAGAGGATTGCCTTTATGGTACCCATGTGGCCTTCTAAGATGGGATCCCTGAAGTCAGTTGTATTATTTTGCATCTTTCTTGTATGTCTCCACAGAGACCTAATAAGCAGGACACTTGAAATAACAAATAATATCAAAGGCAAGGCTATGCCAATGTTACAGAGAAGAATCAATAGAAAAAAAACCTAGTTTTTATTGTCACTGTCTTTTCAGAAGAGTTTGTCACAGTTGAAGGAGTAATGAAGTTGTCATGCACTCTGTAGGTATCACAGAATCACAGAATGTTCAAGGTTGGAAAGGACCTCTAGAGATCATCTAGTCCAACCCCCCTGCTCCAGCAGGGACACCCAGAGCACGGGGCACAGGGAGGCATCCAGGTGGGTTTGGAAGATCTTCAGAGAAGGAGACTCCACAACTTCCCTGGGCAGCCTGTGCCAGGGCTCTGTCTCCCTTACAAGAAAGAAGTTCCTCCTCACCTGGAGATGGAACTTCCCGTGTTTTAACTTATACCCATTGCCCCTTGTCCTATCACTGGCCACCACTGAGAAGAGCTTGGCCCCCTCCTCCCTACATTCCYCCTTCGTGAACTTATACATGTTAATCAGATCCCCTCTCAGCCCTCTCTTCTCCAGGCTAAACAGGCCCAACTCAGTCTCTCCTCATACGAGAGATGTTCCATTCCCTTAATCATCTTGGTTGCCCTCYGCCGGATCCTCTTTAGGAGCTCCCTGTCCCTCTTACACTGAGGAGCCCAGAACTGCACCCAATACTCCAGGTGCRGCCTCCCCAGAGCTGAGGAGAGGGGCAGGATCCCCTCCYTCGACATGCTGCCAGAAGAAAGGAAGACAGGTTGCAAAGGAAAAAAGAAATGATGTTATCAACATTTAGGGCACAAGATCGGAAATTCTTTGCTTCATCCAGATGAAGAAAGACTGTGTAGAAGTGGCAATCTTGGTACAATAGAAGACGCTAAGTCAGGCAGCAAATCAGAGGTTGGAGTAGTTCAGGAACATAAAAACTGTCTTGTAGGTTACAAACAAATTGCCAGCATAGTAGAAAGACGGGAAGACCAAACCTACAAAACAATCCTGCATAATCCAGTAATGCAAACAGATTCTGGATAAACTCAGAAAGATTATAATCATGTCATGTCATGTCGTGTCAGGAGGATAGTATTKTGCTCCTCACCCAGATAGTTGAACTGACAGCCAAGATAGTTGCATTTCTGAGAAGCCCTGCCATGGAGTCATGGCAATCATGATAAATACAAGAGAAAATAAGAGAAAATAAGTTGGGCTTTGTAACTCTAAAGAACATCCTGAATGCTATCAAAGGAGCACARCTGGCCCATTGATGAAGGTATGAGACTTCTATAACTTATAGTATCTGAACTTAATATATTTTTTGAGGCTTGAACAGCTACTATCATAGAGATTAACTTCTACCTTTTCTTCTGCCATCACTCAGGTTACATCATGTTACAATCTCTTTGGGACCTTCTGTTTTGTAGGAATTATCTACGCCTCTTTTTGATTCCCTGAAGCTAAAGCCTCTCTACTCATTGTGGTGGCTGTAACTGTTAACGATTTTTCTGCTCTTCTTCATTCTTCCATACATAAAGATGCACTATGAACTGACAGTAGATTAGAGAGCAAGCGCTCTGCGATACATATCCCATACATATGGATATGTAACTCAAAGTGTCCAAGAACATCTTTGCCTCTTAAGGTATCTGTCTTTGTCACCCTTGACAAGCAACTCTGCTTTTGGGCTAATACAAATCTCTCCATCAGTCCATCAGTCCTTCCATCCAAAGTGGAAAACACTACAGCTTTCAGGTTATCCTGCTTTCATCTTTCTGGAGTTTTCTAGCTCAAATGCAGTGCTACCGTGTTCTGATGTTTTCAAAACAAATTTATGCTTTTGATGGTTACAATGGTAACCCTTATARACTTTATTACCCTATGGCAGGCAGTCTCTTATTTGAATAGGCATTTTCTTCATGTTTCTTCAGTCCACACTAGTCACTGGTACCGTCATCTTTTTTTTAAATGATAACTTTTTCAAGATGCCAGTCGAATTTACATTGCTATRTCATATTTTCATAATGCTTGTCCATACGCTGCATTTATTTATAAAGATGACTTTTTTTTTAAGATTTAAAGACGATTTTTTATAAAGATGACTTGTTTTGTGCAGTTTATGTTATACATATTTTTGGAAGGGTACACAAAACTTACAAGATCAAAGTTCAAATTCAATGTCACTTCAAGACAGTTACTAAGAGGATTTTTTTTAAAATCTGCTTAGATTCACAGTCATCTTGCATGTAGAGGCAATGTTTGCAATGCCATCTACCAAACACATCAATGGCGTTCTTAATAACTACACATTTTTATTAATCATACTTCTATCTCATTCTAAAAAGACTATCTAAAATATAATTCACATTAGATATTTTTATGTATGACGGCGGGAAGGCATGTCCAACACTGTATACTTTTCATTGTGCTGACCAGTATTAGACTTTAAAGAGCTAATATTTTGTATACAAAAAAGGAAGAAGTCAGAGATTCTTTAACAGAGAAAAAAAAAAAAAAGCCAGAGGTCTTCTCACCAACTTCTGTATGTAAGAGGGCAGAGCTGTCATCTGTGCCTCAGAGATAAGAAGGGAATTAGCTGATAAAGACTACTTGTGACGTCTTCCCCTCACACCACCTCCTCTTCCTACTTCAGTAGTTAGAGAAGGTATCTTTTTTTTGTCTTCACTTTCAGTAGTTGATGAAAATGTCTTCAAACTTTGTAAGCTGCAYATTCAATACAGACATCAGGCAGCATATTGTCAACATGCAATCTCCTTTGAGCTAAACCCTTTTTCATAGCTTCAGTACAGACATTGCACTGTCCTGTGGTGTCTAAACTGAAGAAGTTTTCCATACCCAATTTGTTGTGTGGAAAATGCAAGGTTTGTTTACATGATTTACTGCTACCACATGCAAATGTACTCTGTCCTTACTCCAAATTAAATAAATGCAAGTAGGCTCTGCTTGAAAAGGCACAGAGCTGTAGTGAAAACATTACTGAGCTTCAAATAATGAACCCAGTCAAATAGATTTTTATGAAGTGTGGGATGTGCATTTTTTGGATAAAATATGGATTATACCTGGATGTCTCATAGGACAGGCATAAAGATCATATCTATGTGCAATGAACATGTAGATGTTATGTTAAAGAGAGACTTGAATTTTGGAATAAGTAACAGATTTAATGTTCTGTTTTGTCTCTATAACAGTGCCACTTTCCTTCTGAATTAGTCAACAAACCATTTTGCAGTAGAATTCTATTCATGAGCATGCTCTCCAGCTAGAAACTAAGAGTGGAAGAGTGTACACTGGAGTGTAGCTCCAGTATTCACTATTATGGGCTATGATGGCTTAGGAGAAGAAACACCACCGTCCCCATCATTTATACCAGTCCTTACAAAACAACTTTCTCTCTACCAATTTAGAATAGTGTACTTCCTTGAGAAAGTAGTATCATTTGCTGAAATATTCTATGCACACTTAGAATGGAGCTGTGATCCAAGTATTTTTCAAGAGCTATCGTAGTTTACAAGCTCTGRAAAAACAGACCCATCTACAAACATCTACATTCGAAGTATTTCTAGGTAGTATATGGGGGAGGATCCATATAGTGTGGCAATAACCTTTTTTAATTCTAAAAGTTAAATATAAAAATAATATTAATATTGATAATATTAATTATATAGCATTATATGATGTTGCATTATAAATATTCTTATAATAGTATTATTAATACTAATTAAATTAATATAAATAATTAACAGTTAATTTAATAATTTAGTGTTCTTTTGTCAGTTTAAGTGATAAAGTAACATTCAACCATGAGGAAGWAGAGGATCTGTTTAAAAGATACGGGTTTATGAAACTGTATTAACTCCAAAGACATCCCACTGGCATATTGTCCAAAAGCTTCTTGGTATTCTTAAGTTTCGTTTCAAAACAGAGAATTTCTAAGGGTGATTTTTGCAACTGTTGAACAGTTATTGAACAGAACACCTTTTGACTGTGATAGCTCTTTTGCTTTAACTTGGATAGTCATCTTACTTTTGTTAAAGAACAAAGTGGACAAATCTCAAGAAAAATATATGAACTTTTCTTTAAAAGGCACTTATAAACTACTACGGAAACTCACAATTTGAGATATTTGCTGCAGATCAGAACTGGTCCTACTTGCTTAACCAAGATCTAATTACTCTTAGTTTAAATTACATTATGTTCAAAATGATCATAGCCATTGTAAAATTGAAAAGGAACAATATTCCTTGCCCAGAGAGCTTATAAAGCCTAGATAGTGTTCACTGGAGAGGAAAGGTAAAGTTAATTCATTACTTACAGTTTGCGAGCTATTTAGTGTCATAATTCTGCAGATGGGTAAGTTCAAACACATACATAAGACACCCGAACAAACAGCATATTGCCATGAACAAATTTGTCCCGTCAGTTCACAAAGATACATCCACTATAAAATCACTTACAGTTAAATGCAGTCAACTGTCCATATACCATTTCATATGGTTCTGAGTCTATACTAATGCAGCTAATGAAAAACATTTTTGAAAGTGAGGTAGAGTTGTAGCTATTTTAAGAAAAGATGTAAAATAGGAAAGAATAGAAAATTCACAAGGGGAAAGGTGGAAGAAATACATAAAACAAACGTTTCTTAATACATGTAACATAAAATTATTAAAGATATGTTAAAGCAAGGATTATGGGGCAGAACTCTGTTGCATAATCCCAGTTCCTCATTTAAGATTTTAGTTTGCATAAATATCTGAGACTGGACCAACTGTAAATTACTTTAAGCCACAACAAACAAAGCATTTCTGCATCTGTTGGGCAGTTTAGATCACAGCAATGCCCTTACCAGTGAAACAAGAGTTGTGTTTTGTTATATACACTAAGTCAGATTTCACTCATTTGCTCAAGGAGCATTTGCAAAGTAACCTGAAGGGAGCTGGGCTATTGCAAGGAAAGTGTTGGGTCAGCAAGAACCTTTTTCACACTAGGGTTGTTTAGTAAATGTAAAAGTATAAAGCTACCAGTAACCTAAAATGTAAAAAGAACTGGGAATAAGTAATTAACTTTAGCCATAAAAGAAGTCTTTTATCGCTCTATAATCAAAGTAAGATGTTAGAAAAGCACGCCTGGGATAAGGAAGAAACATAAATAAATAAATAAATAAATAAATAAGTAAGTAAGTAAATAAATAAATAAATAAATATTTTTTAAAAAATAAAAATAAATAAAAATAAATATTTTTAAAAAACATAAAAATTAGGTCTGTTTCATAAAACAGACCAAAAAATAGAGAAGCACAGAACAACTGAACAGCTATCTATTTATCTTCAAACTTGTGAACCAAGACACCATATCRTTCTGAGAACCTGGCCAGGTGGAGAGGCAAGCTGACTCCAGACTAGTTCCCGAAACATCTCAGCAGCCGTGGAAGCAAAACTGCACCACTCAGCAGTGGTGGAAGCAAAATCTTCACCACTCAGTTTTCTAAGGTCCCTGGGAACTAACCCTTCTTCTCAGTCATTAATGCAGGGGAATTTCCCTCGTATATCTTTCCTGTATTTATCCTTAATTCATCCTTAAGGAAGCCATGACATACAGGCTGCAAACAATGGAAATAAGATTCACTAACCTTTTTTTTTTTGGTTTGTTTTATTTTTTCTAGGTTTCTCAGTGTCAAAAAAAAAAAAAAAAAAAAAAAGCAGAAGTGGTTTTATTTATTTCCCTCTCAAACGTGTTTTGGGGTGCAGTGGAGAGAGCAAAATGAAAGTGCATTGGCCTTTCTCCTGGGGGAGGAGGAAAATTAGGATCTAAACCCAGCATTATCTTGCAATAGACAGAGGCCTCCAGGCCCCGCAGGARCAGCAGGTTGAAACAAGCTACTCGCAACAGGAATATCAGAGCAAAACAGGCTATTTGGGTGGGGAGGGCGCTTGGACTGTCAGAGCGAAAAGAARTAGGAAATATTTGAGAAGAAAGGCTGGGGGAGATAGAGAATCACATACTCTTKTTCAAAAAAAATTTTTTTTTTCTGATAGCTTCAGGARACAGAAAGACACAGGAGTCCTAAGGAAACGCAGAAGAGGCATAGAGCCAGTTTTATGAAAGTGAGAGGTGTTGGAGGGAGAAAGTGGGTGGAGAGTTGCAGAAATGTGTCCATTTCTTTCCCTCCCTCCTGTTTAAGGGCGTTCTTCACGTAACATTTTCTCTCCTTTCTTCTCCCCACAGGATCAGCCAAGCTGAAAAAGAGAGATTGTCTCTGATCTCAGCAGCGTATCTTGGGCGCAGAAGACATGATAAACAAGTAAGCAGAGGTGAGAGCTGCCGGAACCAGGGAGGCAAAGTCTGCTCAGTGAAGAGAATGACGATTCTTCCAGAGGTAGGAAATGGYTTTGTCTCTGGGGCTGATGAGTCATCTTTGTTGCACCCCACTCCTGCTCTCACAGCTTAACGGCCCCAGGGAATTGGAACAATCCCTTTTCTGAGAGTTGATACTAAGAAAAATCTTGTCCAGATCTCAGAATTAGTGATGTTGGGTGTGGTATAAGAATCTGGGGACTTCTTGTCTCCGTATTAGTCATCTTAAAGGCCATCCAGATGTTTTAACTTGTTATAATAACTAATAATAAGCATCCGATTATTTTCTTCTTTTACTGTATCCTCATCTTTCAGCAAACGAATTAGTTTCAGAAACTCTTTATGCAGAAATATGTGCAACATTTTTCCCCAGCAAATAGCTGTGAGTGAGCAAGGTATATTTTTCGGAATGTGAAAATGGCGTGGCTAATTGCACGTCATTTGTAGTCTCATGAATAGAGCCAATAAGTGTTAACTGCATGTTTACAGGCAACACACACCGAGTTGTTATCTCAGGGTTGCTAAAATGCAGAAGTTATTAAAATGCAATAGAACTAATAATATTTGCTATGAGACTAATTAAACTTAAAAAATAAAAATTATATGGTATGCTGTGCAAAGATGCAAAAGCTGTGGTTTTATAGCAAATGATCATTCACTTCATATTTATCTCAACTGCATTTCGCTGTCTCAAGAATTTGCATGTTTTGTTTATATATCTATTTTCATATTCCTGTGAGAGGGGTCATCAGTCAAAATTTTAAATGTTATTGGCTCTTGCTATTTTTCTAACTTTTGGTGTTCCAGATTATAATTCAGCAAATGTTCTGTTTCCTTTCCCATGTTACCAGGCATATTATTTTTGACATAGGCTTAAAAATTTCTTTTCAAAGGGAATTTAATATGCTTAATTTTATGTATTTAAATGATTTGTTTACAGAAGCTAGATTTAAGAAAAATGATTAAGTTCTTTGCAAATTAGTCTGAAAATACATCATCCACATGGCTAATATGATGTACATTACTTGAGCAACAGTCAGAAGTAAGTTATTTGTGAATAATCTACTCTCTGAAAAATTATAACCGTAAATTGCTTGGAAAATACTTATGAATAACAGGTCCAAATCTCCCTGCCCTTGATATCTTGATATTTCATTTACTTCTCCTCCAAGTTAGATGCTTAGGGCTTTTTTTGTGTAACAGTACAGAATACCGATGAAATGTAAGATGAGAGGGAATTGAGACAAAGGACTTCTTAAACCTCTCTGCAGAATTCAGCACTGGCTCACAAACAACAAGTAAGAGCTGTTGACTGAAAGTCAAATTCTTTGCCTGATTTATCTGCAATCAAACAGTTCTTGCTTTAATCGGTATGGATTCTATCCAGATTCTCCTAACCTAAGTCATGCTCTCATTTGAATTGGATGTTTCATGGAGTCGACTATTGCAACATAAATTCATTTTACAATCAAGAGGACAATCAGAAATCAGCTTTTATTGATTTTACAGGTATCTCACAAACTTAGCTACAGTTTTTTAGATCTGAGCACTTGCACACACTTAAAAACAYGAAAGAACTGAAGCTATAATGGAAATAACATTAATCTTCAGCTTTGTGCAAATACTTCTTGCTTACTCATAAACAGAGTCCATGTGGAGGAATTTTGTCAGAGAGTAAAGGCTCTTTATGCTCTTCCATAGCCTCTTATGCCATAGGAGGAGGCTCCATAGTCAAACCATTTGTTTGTCTTTTTATGTTGAGCATGTTGGATAACAGAACCATGCTATGAAGCATGCCATGAAAAGTGCTTCTGTTGCCTGCAAGCTGTGCAGCATTTCTGCCTCCTGAATTTATATAGTCCATCTACAGTTCCATCTAGTTAAATCCATGCCACCTTAACCAAGATCCACAGATTTTGGAAAAGCTCTGGATTTTGTTGTTTCTATTCTGAAAACTGGTTAGTTCTTTTGAGGGAAAACAAGATTCATAGCAGACCAGAAATCTAASAGGGATGAGACCAGGGAAGTTGTAAATACTTCATAATTGGGATAAGCCAGATTTTCACCTTGAAAAAAAGCAAGTCTATTGTGACAGAGGAGTCAAGAGCATAGTAAAAGATACAGGTACATCAAAGGATACATCAAAGGATGTTCTTCCTCCTCCTTTTCGGCTGGAAAACTTTTCTTTCCCGCTTTTCTCTGCCTTACTTTCCACTTGGAGAGTAAAAACTCAAATGTGTTACTGCAAGGGCATATGAAAGAAATGCACATTTCCTCCTTTATGTTCTGCATTGTATATTTATTGTATGTACAGTGCCGGTAAATCTATGTTTTTATTTAGCAACTTTTAACACCAGAGTTTACTTGTGCATGCTTACTTTCCACACAGTTATTCTGTATCCTGCTTTATGTAGCCAAAAAAGGGAATTTAAAGGGACAAAGGTAACCACCTTGAGGCATCAAGGTACAAAGGTAACCAACCACCTCCACCTTGAGGCATCMAATCCTTGTGGAAAGTTTGCAGGACTCAAGTATATTGCTATTTGCTTTTGAGATGCCTCTCAAACAAGTGTGTGTTTGAAGGATATCACATACTAAGCTCTGCTTTCCTATTGTAATTTTGTGGTTTCTGTTCTGTTGAAGTTTTTATATAGGAAGCTCCACCACAACATTTGAGCATCTTCCGATAGTACATTAGGAGCAGACTAAGGAGCAGATTAAGAGCAGACATTCATTTTCCTAACCTTTCCTCATGGGAAGGGAGGTAATAATGTGAGCTGCTTCTCTTCTTATAGGGTGTGACTTCTTCTTGTTATTTTTGAACAGATTATGTATTTTGGTTTCTGTTAAAGAAGATAAATTCTGAACCTGATGACAAATGAAGCTTAAGATAATCCTTAACTGCTTTGTTAAAGGGAGCAGTAAGAACAGGCACAGAAAGATAAGCTGGGAGCTGAGAGTCTATAACAAGGCAGGCAAGGAACAATGTTCATGTCTATAAAAGGTGTTACYCCACAATGCTGGAATTAGGGGAGTAAAGCAGGTTGGTGATGGTAGCCAGGCTCAGCTAAGAGTCTAGATCACCAGGAAAATCTACARTGAGGAGGCAGATCTAAGCCTCAATGTCAAATGTACAGATTAAGATCTGGATCCAAATCAGTGGAGTATAGCCAGGCATAGTTTTAATGTTGCTGCAACGTATCTCAGATGGAGATCAAGTATGAGAGCTGCAAAAAGCAGCTTGTAAGTGAAGGAGAATGTGCCTTCAATGAGGCTTCTTCAAGCTTTTTTTTTTTTTTTTTTTTTCCCTCAAAGAGTTCCAAGGACAGCCAAGGTTCCTTGGAGAACTTTCTTATTTCAGAGAGCTGGCTTTAAGCTCTGAAAGCTAAACTCCTAGGAGAGAGGGAATGCATGGCCAGGTCCTGACCCTGTGAAGTCCGTGTGAGAGCCTCAAACTAGAGTATTTATCAGCTCACCATGCTACATTATCCCTTCCTTGCTCTAATGTTTCTTCCCTGACTCTCTTCCTTGAGGCTTTTCTATTATCTTCATTTTTTTTTTCTGCATCTTTTTCTTCACTGTGTACCCAGTTATTTTGCTTTTGTTACACCACCAGATTCCATTCCTATGTTTGTTTTCTTGTGATGTGCTGTTCTTCTTCAAGTTTGTGCATATCRAATTAGGTAGAAGCAGTGGACAGGCAGAGTAAATTTCATCTTACTGAACTCTTAATTAAGCTTTCAGGAGAGTAGCCTAGCATAGTCATARTCTCCTTTGTAGAGAAATGGATAAATGGAGAAAAAGATTCATGCTTCTGAATGATGCTTTAGCATATCCTAAAACAGATGTCTGAAATAGAAGGGGTACTCTTCCACTGACTAAAAAAGCAGACCTAGATTACTAAATACAAATAAATTGAGGGGAGATAAAACCTGTCTGTAAATAAGGATATCGTCTGCAGCTTGCGGCTTACTGTGRTTTTTAGACTGTATAAGTCTTTTCTCCCAAGCGAATCAGACTCCAAGGCTTAGGATATAGAAGATACATCTTGCAGAAAGATCTCAAAGGAAATCTCAGGCTAGCAAACTCTAACAGAGCAACTATTTCTGTAGACACGAGACACAAAAAATGCTTTGATACCTSCAGCAAGCATATGTAAGGTAGTCCCAGAGTAGAATTATGGGGAGACTGGCCCTCACATAGGAAGTTTTATGGCTTCCAGATGCATTAATTTTTCATGTTGTGYGAAAAGTATATCTGGAAAATCAAGGAAATCAGGAAACCTCTGGGAAAAGCACCTCCTCAGAGATTTGGAATATTACAGTGCTCTAGCACTAGTCTCGTCAGTTATTTCCCCTTAAAATAGATGAAAGTTAGAGTATATGACTAGTACAAGCTTTAATAGCAGTTTTATATTCTGCTTGTCTTATTTTCTTTTTTCAGACCTGTGACCCGGAGCTGAGAGCAGAAGCAAAGGAGCGATGTCTCTGGGGGAAAAGCCTACTTGTGTGTGTGCTAGTTCTTAGTATTGTCCTAGGACTTACATTGCTTRTCACCCATGTAACGATGAGCTGCAGTCTAGGTATAATACATGGTATCCTTTTGCCTGCCTCCTCATCCCCCCATTTATAAGACTCCTTCCTATTCTATCTCCCTCCAAGGCTTATTGGGCTTAGCATCTGTGTGAGAATCCGACTTTCAGAATCTCAAGTAAACGTCAAAAAATATTCATTGTAAACAAGGATTTTTTCTCCTCCCTGGGTTGTAGCTCCTACTTGAAGATGCTTCCCACCTCCAGTTYTCCTCCTCTGTCTGCCTTTTATTATGCCTGGACGCACCTTTGAGGCAGCATTATACTGCCTGTATTTAAATTTTCAAATATATATATGTATATATATATATTTTCTTTTGATTCTCATGCTCCTGACCTACAATTGTATACAACTGTAGCATCTTGYTCTGTCTATAGTTGCCTCCAGGAAATTGGGGCAGCTTCCCCACTTTTCCATTCGTAATTTCATAAGTCTAGTCCTGTTTTTCTAGCACCAACCAGTGTAGTCGTGTTATAGAGAGAAAAGTCAGTCTCCTGCTCACTGGGGGAACTACGAAGAAAGACTGGAAACATTCAGTTTCAATCAAATTCACTAAACACTTTTTTACAGAATGGACCTTCTCTTGTCTCATGCATTGACACCATTGGTAGTTTCTTATTTATATTAGGCTAAACCAGTGAGCGTTGAATCAGATAACATACATTCAGAAGGCAAAGTAGACTGCCTAGATAGTACCAATACAGGACACTAGCTCTGGCCTGACTGTCTATCTTTTAATTTCAGAATCTCCCTTAAAAAGTGCAAAAGCAGTCCTCCAATGAAGCCAAAAATAGCACATGATTTATTCCATATTCAGCAAAAATTTACAGGGATTTTAACATGCCACATGCAAAGAAGTTTGGACCAAAATAAATCTTTTCAGAGAAGTGTCCCACAGAGACCTCCTAATTTTTTGTTTAGAGCTGTTCTCACTCACCATTGTTACTGCTCAGTTCTCTCCTGTTTTCTTCCTGAGCAGGATCCTGTGATGCTGAGGTGGGGGCACTGTTGGCCAGAATCTTGAATTCTAGGAATGACACAGTAGACCCCTGTAAGGATTTCTACGAATATGCCTGTGGCAGCTGGGAAGGCAAACGCTCAAGCAGAACCACAGAAGAATCACTAAATGTCTTTGATGCATTGTTGGAAGAAAATCAGTTGATCCTGAAAAAACTTTTAGGTAGGGACAGGAGATAATTGCTGTGTTACTCTAGCTTTTTCCTCAGTTAGAGCGGTGAATTATGGTATCTAAGAGCACAGTCATTCCCAACAGAGACTGATTCCAGTCTTTTTATTCTTCTACCATTACAGGTACAGATATATTCCTGTATTCCATGTCATATTATAATCACCACGTTTCAAACTTTTTGGTTCCCTTTGCCAGGTGTTATGGAAATCACACTCCAAATTCTGACAGCAAACCAAGCCATTGCTTGTGAAAGTAGCCCCTTTGACTGTCTTTCAGTTTGTACTCTTATCGTGTCCTCAGTCCGTGTTGGACTGAAGTCAAGATATAAACTACATTCCTTTTATACTTGATTTTCAATGTGAAGAGATCCATTTATCTGGCCTCAGGAAGAGTCACGGCTCGAAGTAAGAGTCTCTTACTTTGTATGCCTCGGTGAACAGGATGCTTCATGCATTCTGACATGCCTTAAAAGTAGTCTAGGCATAGATTTTTTTTACAACACTAGATGAATTTCTGTAGATGTAAAATGGGAAGTTTTCTCCTTTTTCACAGTTAGAGTTCCTTCAGCTCGGATCATCAGAGATTAACTTTCCTGTTCTGAAGGCTTCACAGTGGGGACTAGTGTGGCTATATTTGTTAAATTGTTTTGAATCACAGTGCAATGTAATATATTATTACATCCTTTTTCTATTTTTTTACCTATACTTTCTTTTTTATCAGAGACCCCACAATTTGGGGTAAGAGGCTCAGCTAGAAAGAAAGCAATCTTGTTCTATCAATCCTGTATGGATACTCAACGGATAGAATCCCAAGGAATTCAGCCATTGAAAGGTCTCCTAAATCAGGTGAATGTTTATGTTATTTTCTCTCTCTATGGAAGTTAATTCCCGTAAGGAAAAGAAAAAAGTGAAGTACTGACTAGATAGTCTTCTATTTTTTTCTTATGTGTTTTGCTATCGTATGGTCCTTAAATAAGCTGAAGGTTCACAGCTCAACTTCTAAGTAATATATTTTTTTTTTAAATGGTGTCTCCATGTTTAAATTCTGACACCATATCTCTGAATTTATCCTAATGACCTTAAGTAGTACTTTAGAATCACACAACCAAGACGACAGAAAGAGTAGAACTTTAAATCTTAGAAGCTGAATTCAATAGTAGGCAACTTCCAGGACAAGGAACATCATGCAAAATGGGTGAGATTTTGTGTTCAAATTTTGATAACCATCCACTACTGCAGGCTTTGGGAAGGTTTGCTTGAAGAAGAAAATGCTGTTCTTCCAAGGCTGAGTACAGGGAGGTGTGTCCCTCTTCCTGTAGACATGGATCGTTTATGCTCCATATCCAAGGATGATGGGACAACCTTTCAGTAGAAGGATAACCAACTCCAAACCCACATTTGAATCTGCTGTTAGGGAGGTGGGACCCTTAATCCTTGATCTCTGGTTGTTGTTCTCAAAGACTTTTATAATGCCTTTGAGACTCTTCCCCTCCCTGTGTCATTCTGTATTTTGTGACTTTGCTTAAGTGAAAGCAACATCATTATAAAACCAACAATTCAACAGACTTCATGTCTTCATGCCTGTCACTTTTTGCTCTTCGCCTTGTTTTTTTTTCTTTTTCCACAAATGTCAGAATGACTGAGCTCACAGGAGTAAATAAGGATCAAACAAATATGTTTCTCCTCTCTCATACTACCTATATTCCTCTCTAGGTTGGTGTCTGGAATATCACAAGCATTGGGGAAGAAAAAGATTTTAACAAAACTCTTCAGACTCTGATGGGCAGATACAACACCTTTCCCTTTTTCAGTGTCCACGTGGGACCTAGCCCTTCTGACCCAAACATCAACATAATTCAGGTGAGTAGACTTAGAAAACAGGGCCATCAGGAAGCACCGGGAATAAAGGGTAGGTTATGCAATCAGTGGGATCCAGACTTGTTCGTGCTAATTCTGTGTTCTTCCTTGCCAGAAAAAAAAAAAAAAAAAAAAAAAAAAAAAAGTTTGTAAATAAGCAAATAACATCAA